TCAGTCTTTTTGCAATTAATACATTTATATTTAAAACTGTAACATATAAAATACATTTGACAACCTACCCCAATATAACTGTCACAACTTGTTCTGCCTTTTGATTAAATCTAAAATCTTCTAAATTTTTGACTCTTGCTTCTGAATTTAATATGTCATTGTGGTGTTATTGTGTTTACATTGTTTCTCAACAGCTACAGGAAAATATGACGAGACTGGAATTTGAATTGGAGGAGAGAGTTTATAAAAAAACTTTCTGGTAGGTGTTTGAAACCAACATGCAAAATCTGCAAGAGAAAAACGGCAGTTTACTCCTTTGACTCAAAACCTTGTCGTTACTGAAATCACTGATCAGTCTTTGTGAAGTCTTTCCTGTTTGACCACCTGCCCCTCTTACAATCTTCCCCATTAAGTGTACAGAGAGTGAAAGTTGTGTTGAGATGCTTATGAGCAAGTTACCATGGATTATACTTATATTATATTTGCCTACTTTTCATCCATTGTCCATTTTTGATGTCATATCATTAAATTCATACATCACATTATTTGCCCATATAAACTCATTAAAGCATTTCCAGTTGAATTTGCATGCTTACTGCAAATCTCTCTGGCCGCTTCTTCGGAGAAGCTCATTTCCACTTTCCCTTAATGAAGCTGGAAGAGTCACAAGCTCATTGCCTTACTGAATGTGTAATTGAGCACATGTGCAAAAGTAAAGATATGATGATGGTTTTATGCTTGGGCAGAGGAGGGAAATGCTGTGGGGTGTGAACTGTTGACTACTCGTACCTCTGAATTAAAGGACATTAAAGAAACACGGTGACACTCTCGAAGATCTTTAGCCATTATTAATGTAGAGTGAATCTTCAGGCTATTACTCTTTCTGCTCAGGGTTTCTTTGTTTTCACTAATTATGTAGTTGCAGGGAGGATAATTACAGCAATGAAATGGTCTGTAAATGTGCCAGTGTAAACAATAATAAGGTTTAATTGGATGCAAAGACGGAGATTTAAGGAGATCACTAAAGTGGGTGTAATTTGAAAAACACTGACAGAGAAAAAAGTTTGATGTATCTGAATGTGAGAAACTGTTTTCCCTGGCTAACATAATTTTTATATCCAACAAATTAAAAGTAAAACAGTTTTAACTGTCCACTTGGTTTCTCTTTATTTTGATGGTCCCTTTAACACATTCTGTTGACTATAAATAACGTTGCACCTACATGTCTACTAAATCTCATTAGAGTGTTAGTAGAGTATTAGTAGACTGGTAGTTTTAGAATAAGTTGACATGTACAGGTGCATCTCAATAAATTAGAATGTTGTGGAAAAGTTCATTTATTTCAGTAATTCAAATTTTGTCAACATCAAAATAAAGTGTTACCGTCCACTGCTACAAAAATCAATGATAAAAGATGTTTAAATGCTGTGAAAGTATTGTTCATTGTTAGTTCAAGAAAGCTAAATCTTTAACTAATGTTATAAAATTTAACGTTGTTGTAAAGTGTTTCCCAGAAAACCTTGTGAAACAATGGTGATGATTGAAGTATCCTTCACATATGGAAAATAAGATAAAAACGAATGAATTGATCTTAGAGCATCCTTGAATTCTCCTGATTGTGAACGTCAAACAGTTTAGAAAGTCAGAGGTTTATTTTTTATCATGGATATGAGGATGCCCCCAGCTTCAGAGCAGGATCTTAGAAGTGAATGAACAGCACAATTATGTTTGACTGCTTCTCAGTGCTGTTCCAGCCTTTGGGATCCAATCACCTCAACAATCAGACCTTAGACAACCTCCAGACTGGGTATTACCTTAGGGCAGTCTGATAAGGTCAACCACGTCAACCATTTGTTTGCATGTTTGTGTGATTAGTCTCAAGTGAATTGCAAAGTCTTAGCATGTCTCATATTTTATGTATCTATAATGCCGCTGTAGTTAGTTTTAAATGGAATACTACAGTATTTACACAGAAATGTATCATAATACACTGAGAAAATATGTATTACTACTTTTAATGGTCTGACTAATACAAATTGAGTCACAAGAGAAACATATTTTAATTTTTATTAAATTATTTGCAAAACAAACTCATTACATTTTAGTGGATTATAATGGACTGGCAGAAATCCATTATTAAACATCACAAACGTAATAAACATTTAAAGTGTGACGAATAAGAAAGGCCTTTTGAACAATTTATTATTCACAATTATTCATTCCCCTATTAAAATGAAAACATCATAAAAATCAGAATTTTAATCTTAATTAAGGAAATAATAATGATACACATCAACACCAATACATATACTATTCAAATCCAGTATTAACTGCAGTATTATTTTGAACACCACAACAGAGTTAACATCAACAGTGGGATGTACATTATATTGATTCATTCAACATCAATTCAGATGGGTTTTGAATTAATTTATGTGATTTATGACACTGAGCATGGAGGCACAGTCTAAATGCATGTAAACTGTGAATCTGATTACTACTGATCTAAAACACGGCAAAGTCAGTTTAACGCCATAAAAATGAGTTACAGTGCAGGCACATGAGTTACAGTTATTTGTCAGGATACCCCAGAGAGCCATCAAGCAAACATTTTAACCTTTCTTACTGTGTTGGTCTTGTATTCTCTACAGCCTCAGCAGGCGGTCTCTCATACCGTTCACTTTCTCATTTTCTTCTTTTTATGTTGCTTGCTGTACCCTTACAGCCCTGGCCATCACACCCGCATGTTATGCACTCTTTTTGTATTCAGTATATTTCAACACAACGGTCTACAACTACACTCAAGTGCTCAGCTTCCTCCCTGCTGTGAATATCTACCATGTTCTTTAGAGTTCACTCATGATGGTTCATGTGGATGGATTTAAACAAGACAGCACCAAAATGTGGTTCATAAATATATATATATATATACACACATAAAAAACCCAGTCAAATCAGGAGCCTAACAAAAGCTTTATTTTACATGGAACTGGTCAAATCATGGGGAGGCCATATTGCAATCACATGACCAGATGAATATGACTTATTTTATATTGATAACTACTTTGTTATAGAATACTTTGACTTGTGGATTAAATTAATTGTGGCTGGCCAATGGCATCAGTAACTGAAAATTACTAATTTTGCTAAATAATTCATCCACAACACTAGGTGTCAGGTAGACTGCAAGTCCAGCACAATTAAAGGAACATTAAACAAACTTTCTACCCTTCTTTTAGTCTAATTTTGTATCAGCATGATATTATGGGAAATCGGTTATCTATACTGCACAATGAACTAGAGAGCTTCCTCGTCTTACTCATCCTCACCTCTAAGGCACAAGAAAAAAGCTGCATTCTCGAATTTCCCATTTTTCTTTTACTTTCTTTAGTATTATCACATTCCATTATCCATTATTATCCATTATATTATTATTATCATTGTCACAGGCCCTCTGTCTACTATTCTGGTCCATGCAGCTCTCTCTAAATGGTTCCCTGTGACTTATGGGAGTTTGATATAAAGCTAAAATCAAAAGTGTCCACAAGTCTGAACAGAGTTTAAAAGAGATGAGCTGAACTTTTATTGTGTGCTGCTTTTCCGTTTTCCTTCAGCGACACATATTCTCAACCAAGGCTCATTGAAAATCCATGCCTGTGTATGCAAAATGATATTAATTTGCCTCTTGCAATTTTTGTGGCACATTCAAAGTGAAATGTCCTCTGAGTAATGTTAAAACCACATTAAATTTTCCCCAAAACAGATGACCCTGAATTTAACAAGCAATGGAATGGTATAGCAGCAATGGAAATGAAATGTTCTGGTGAGTGGTGCTAAAAGGTTAATGCTCTATCACGTTTGAAAATATTGTACCACCAATAGTGGTATACTATATACCTATAGTATAAAATTATTTTTACTTCACTTTTTTATACATGTTTTAACCTGAAACTGAATCAGAATTTTGTGAATAAAAATGTTTTAATAAATAAATATATTATTGCAAAGCAATGTTAAGGTAATGGTTTACACAAAAATCTAAGATCTTTTTACTTTTTGTGGGTATTAAGAAACATGATGACGATGATCTTTTTTCAACCAATGTTTTTTTTCCCCCTTTAAATAAAGTAATACACAAACACACATCATGCTATATGGTGTGCATGAGTAAATTCAAATTATTTGCAGATTCAGTTTGCTGCTCAACTCTCTACAAAATCATAGTGTTCTGCTTTACTTCTTTCTCCATTATTGCACTACTTGTTGCAGATAAAAAGCTTTTATCAATCCCTAAACCTAACTGATAATGGTAACAAAAGCATTTCTGAAATAATCTGCCCCTGTAATCATAATTTGTTGTTTTACTGCCGATAGTGTTCATTTCAGCTGGAAACTGCAGTGAATTCTATGTTTAGGTAGAGGCACGTTTTTCAAGTGAGCCTGTTACACATTCTATCATTGCAATCTGAAGACTCTCCCTTCTCTCTTTGCAAATTGCAGAACAAGGCAGTGTTTAAATGAAGCTACTTTAGAACGAGTGAATAATTTATGCCCGTCATCCTGCACTCTTCTCCAGTTTGCACACAAGAGCGCTGCCTTTTTTACACATACACTGTTGCTAAGGTGACGGAACGGCGACAATGTCTCGGTGTGTTGCGAGCAAGAGTCACGTCTTTGACAATAGCAGCCTCTGCTTTGAAAGCCCCTGATGTGCGCCAGTGAATGAAATAAAAAAAAAGGTGTATGTCCTTGTGTTCACAGTTGTTCCAGTGTTGGTAAATTACATAACATGGATATAGACTCTGTGTATACAATAGAGACTGTCTGCAGTCTGTTCCCTTCATAATATTTTTCTCTTTTCACTCACCAAGATGGATTTATTTCATATTTTGAATGAGAAATAATCTGGATATACATTAGCTTATTTTATTTTATTTACTTTTTTTTTTTTTGTATTTACACTGTTTCGGCACATTGTTTTTTGTGTATTTGGTGCTACATTTCCTCCCATAAACATTATAAGTGTCTCTGTTGCCAGTTCTGCAACATTTATAAGCTTCATATGGTGATTCAGTTGCATGGACATAATGAATTCTTGTAATAATAACTCAATATGAAAACATTCTTCACTTCAGTGGTCTCTCCTTGGCTGAGTGAAACAGAGAAATGGAATGGCTGAATCTTGACAGCATTCAGTAAATGGTTTCTTTGATGACACTGGTGGAGAAGGTCTGGTTGCTGCAGATGCTGATAGAGTGTCTGGTGAGAACACGCTTCTGTTTCTTATGGCGGCATGGCAGGATTAGGTAGCGAAGTGTGGAAAAAAAAATTTGCCGGTAATTGGCTGAGACAAGGTTGTACAGGATGGGGTTGATGGCCGAGCTGACATAAAAGAGCACATTGGTGCACATATAGAAGTAGTGGTAGAAATCGAAGAGAGCACTGTGGATGAGAAAAAATACAGTTTGTTGGTACAGCATTATCATGCATATAAAAATATTTTTTACTTGCAGCTTTTTTATTTGAACCAGAATCATGGTTATTATTATTACACAGAACCAATATATTATTGTAAAACAATGTAAAGGTAATGGTTTATCCAAAAATTTAAAATTCTGTTACAATTACAATTTGTAATTTTATAATTTATTTAGGGCCCGAGCACCAATGGTGCGAGGACCCTCTTGGAATAGTTCTGTTTCTTCTTATTCTGCTTCTCCAAAGTGAATCGCATTTTTGAGGGCCTAAACATGCTCGAAAACTTACGAAATGCTGCACACACATCAGAGCTTGTGAAAATTTACATCTGATATGGGTTTCAGAATTGGGCGTGGCAAAATGGCTTGATAGCACCACCTATAAAATTTCAATGAATTCCAATACCTCTTGGAACGAAATTCTAAATGCATTTTGAAACTGCATTTTGAATTTCCTCTATGATTTTTGTGCAGATTTTTCCATGTTCAGGACTTGCACTTTATCAAACTCCTCCTAGTTTTAATTGGATCATCTTCAAATTTGGTGAGTGTAGTCATAAGGCCTTTGTGATGCTAAATTGTGAAGATCTTGAGTTTGCCTCGAAGGGCGTGTCCCTGGCAGCCTGACAAAGTTTGATGTTTCGCCATGAAACAGGAAGTTGCTGTCACTCAGGCAAACAATATCCAATCTGCCCCAAACTTCACACATTTGATAGGAGTTCTGTCCTGAACACATGTCCATGCCCATATTCAGTTATAGTCATAGCACCACCTGCTGGCAACAGGAAGTGACATGTTTAACACTGTTATGGACTCCTAGCAACATATTATAAAGCGTCAGCAAGTGCTAAATAGGCTAGCAACATGCTAGAAAATATGCTTGAAACACTTATCTAAGTGTTAAAACATGCTATTAATGCAATGAAACAGGAAGTTGCTGTAGGCATGCAGTGTCCAATCTGCCCCAAACTTAATATGCAACATGCTAGAAACATAGTAAAGCATGTTAGCAACACTTAGCTTATTTGATAAAGCATGCTATTAATACAATGAAACAGGAAGTTGCTGTAATATATAGGCATGCAATGTCCAATCTGCCCCAAACTTAACATGTTTGATAAGAGTCCTGGCCTGAACACATCTACATGCCAATATTCAGTTATAGTCACAGCTCCATCTACTATCAACAGGAAGTGTCATGTTTAACACTGTGATGCACTATTAGCAACACATTAAAATAAGTTATTGAGAGTTAAACATGCTAGCAACAATTACTAAGTGCCAAAGCATGCTATTAATACCATGAAACAGGAAGTTGCTCTAACTCATGCATACAATGTCCAATCTGACCCAAACTTCACACATTTCATAAGAGTCCTGTCCTGAAGACATCTAAAGGCCAATATTCAGTTATAATCATAGAGCCACCTGTTGGAAACAGGATATGTCATGTTTTACACTAACTCAAACATACTAAGTTCAATCTGCAGCAAACTTCACTTGTTTGGTAAAAGTCCTGGCCTATATAAATTACTTTGATATATTCCTCCTATATTTTCCACTTTAAATGCATATTGCCCACTGTTCACTATTTTCCTATGGCCACCGGGTGGAGGTGGCTCCGGGTGTGAGGGCACTTTCAATGCTGCTTGCGACTTTAATTATTCTTTTTGAAGTTTAAAAGCTTCAGTCCCCATTCATTGCAACTACATAGAAAAGAGTTGCCATTATGAAGGTGGGTAAATGTTCATTTTAAACATGTCTTTCATCTATGCAGTTTAATTGCTGATAAAAATAGGGTCTTTTTTACGTCACCTTCTGTGGGTATAAACTAGGGCTGTCAACGTTAACGCATGCGATTAATTTTTAATTTTACAATAATTTAACGCAATTAAAGCAAAATTACTTTAGCACAATATCTATTCTAACCCTTTAACTCAATTTTGCTTCTCTGTTTGTGATCAGATCATTTTAAGCTGCTAAACTCCGGGAAAGTTTTCAGACCAATGATCCAGTAAGCGAATGCATTCAAACAATCCGTCCAAAGCAGCGCTAATATAAAGGAAACCAGGTTGATTACATCAGAGATTGCAGAGAGAACAGAGTTTTCAGTGAATTATTTCAGTGTGTTTCGCTTTAAAACAGCGTGAGCATGTGTAGTATGTGTGTGAAGTACAGACTAAACGGATTGTCAACACATCCCACCACAACACAGATGAGGTGCAAACTACATGTTTTCGACTGGATAACCAGTGTCTCGCTAAGTTTTGATGAATGAAGACTGCAGTAAAGGTATTGACGATTGTGGTGGCGTACAGGAGTCATACAGTACAGTAAGCAGGCGTGAGTCCGTAATATTAATGCATGTATGAGTGCTCTTGACTCACTGATCGCAGATTGTATTTATACACAGGCACAGACATTTCCGTACATTCACGTCGTTTCCACACACATTCACGATAATGTTTTGATTTGTCATGTGTATGTTGCTGTGTTTAGTTATTCTGAATGGATCAGTGTACTGTAGTAGATATATGCAGTCAGCAGGCGGTGGTTTAGGAGTTTTTGGCATCTCCATGTGGTCCTGTTCAGAAACGCAACTTGACTTATCTAAAATGTAAAAAAGCTCCTTGCTGTTGCACTGTACACATACTATACAATTCAGATTTTTTAAAGCATTTTATTTTCTTTCATATGTGCTTATATGGGCTCCTTATATCATTTGGTTCTTTGGTGT